ACTTTTGCCAAATTGTAATACTAAACTATTGTGAAAACATTCTGACGGACAAACAAGTATATAAGTTATACATGTACGAGGGGTTATCCAAAAATTGGTGGACTTTTTAAATATCTTTTGAACGTCAACGTGTATTGTAATGAAATTTTATCAGCATATATTGTAGAATAATATCAACACGTTTTGAAAAGAACAATTAACAATAAAAACAATAAATAATGGTATTATATTGCTTTTAAATAAGCACATACACGGCACCCGGCGCACTGTAGAAAACTGCAATAATTCATCATATATTTATTGTTAAAAAACTACTGATTAAAGTAGAAAATCCGCTAAACATCGCATATTTCTTCTATGATGTCATTTAAGTAATTCATTAAAATTACGGACGTCATTTTCGTTAATTTTTGTTGAAATCGCCAGAAACGCCAGACGACGAAGTTGTTTACAACGGGAAAATGACGGAAATTATTGTTAACGTCAGCCCTGATAATTTTCGACTTATTGATAATTATAAATGGCAATATTTTATTTTAAATACCACATGATACATCATAAGCTTATTATTAATATCGTAATATCGTTTTCTCTCCCCGTGATTTCTTGTTAACCCTACGCCGCTTTTCATGGAATGTCACATTATACGTGTCACATGGCAACCGCCGTGTAATCATATTTACGGATTGTTTTACATTCAAAATTTTATCGCTTTCGTGTTCTGTTTAAGTCGGTGCTAATGGGTGTGGACGGTAATTTGCACTTTCCAGTACGGTCCATGAACAGACTCAATCAGGCTCAATCAAAACCGAGCCTTAACATTTTCAATTTGTCGGTCTTGACATTCTTTAGAGATTCCGTCTTTTTCTGTTTTACTGTTTCCGTTTGATCCTAATAAGAAGAACGTTCCATCTTCCATGCAAATTCAATATCAATTAATTGTCGGCAGTTACATCTGTCAAGTTTACCACATCATTAATCATGTATCGTTCAATATCTCAAAAGATACATTTGCCAAAATAAACAAAGTATTCGCCTCTTTGTCAGAATTAATTGTGTAAGCTTATTATCTTAACAGTCATGCAAGCATTACCCGCGCAGTCTGATCAGGATCCATGCTGTTCGCTTACCAACCCTATTACAAGTAGAGAAACTAATAGCGAACAGTATTGATCCTGATCAGACTGCGCGGATGCGCAGGCTGGTCTGGATCCATGCTAGTCGCAAATGCACTATGTTGGTTTTGTCATCACGTGGCTCAACTATGAACTTTATTATCAGACATATCAACAGCACGTTTTTCCGATATCTTGCTTTAGTTTCTAAAAGATAACTCATGACAAACTACTGAACTGTCTTTTGCTTCTTTTGTATTACAGTTATAGTTATTTGATACATGTTTATTGCATGGAAGTTAAAAAAAAACTACTAATTAAACATTTGGCTACTTTCTTAAAGTGAAATCGACACGCTTTATTTCTATCATAATAAGTTCTAATTAATTTTATTGCAGCATGTACATGTGAAAAATACACAAACGATAAGTATATTATCAAAAGGCCAATAGGTTTGGCAACAAGTTCTGGCAACATAAGATTAAGCCATTCCAAGAATTTATTAATTCTTTCATAAAAATAATATAATACCTTTTTCCCCGTTTTTGAAGAAAAGAAAGGTGTTCATTTCATAACGTTAATGCGTCCCTATGAACAATAAACAATTCTTTTTATATAGGACAAAAGGACAATATTTGTGATATGCATATAAGGTTTTCCTGTTTGAATGATACGAATCGCAGACATAGTTATTATCATAACGTTCCAAGTAGAATGTTTGTTTGTTAGTAAACATAAAAAAGTATATAAAGACAATTAACTTTAAAACAAATCATACGTTCTCTTCTTTTGGGAAGACATGACGTTAAGTTGTTTTTTTAATAATGATAAATTCGTTTTAATAAAGAAAAAGAAACCCAAAAAAGAAATATGTATAACATAAATATATACATAAAGTGAATGTATCATTAATATATTTTCTTTATCCAGATGATTTTTTCTCAATTTTGTGAAATTTACAACAAAAAGAAATTTTAAGTGACAATATGTAGTTGTGCAGGTCAAAGTCAAACTATGTTTTGCCATAATTACTTTAAGGTTTACAGGTCTATTTTATTTGTAATTTCACCAATAACCTGCCTGGCACACAGGAAGCTATATTAATATTTTTCCGAATATATCGTAAACATTCAATAGAAAGAGTGGGGCATGCGCAGTCTATTTTATATTTTAGGCAGTTGTTTTATCCTTAACAATATTTTTCTTTACATCATTATCAATTATTAGCCAATTATTATTATCATAGTCAATCTTTATACATATAAAGTCAGGTCAGCTCAACCTGACAACGAAGGAAATTAGCAAAATATCACTTTAACAAACAATTACGTGTATCTCATTCCATCGCTTATGAAGTCAAAGTAAAAAACAAAATATCTTTATTTTTCGTCAGTTCACAAAAAGTGTCCAAAAAATTAAGAAAGCATTAAATATGGGTGCAAAATAGTACATAGTGGGCTAGCAAATATCGGATTTTAGAAAAGTGAGGATCCTTTCAAAAAGAAAAGAATATGTTGATTTAACGTTTCTTCTTTTGTATGTCAATTTCAAGCGAAATGGTATTTCTGAGAAAGTGTGAGGACATATATTCAGATAAGACAAATTGATTGAAATATAATAAAATAAAAGGTTCATTGGCGGAGAAAAGTTGATTGAAACGCAATTGATGTACACCGAACGATTTTTATTATTTTTTCTATTTATTATTATAAATGCACCGATAAAAGACGTGCGTGTTATAGAACATGATATTTATCAGGACTTGAACAAAAGCTGTTTTAAACCGAGTGTGTAACATAAACAACTAAAACGACAAATCAAATGTTGCAGGCTTAGTTTAATGGAGCATGTCTGTTCAAGGACGGTAGTGCTGATTCCAATATACCGTCAACGCTCCCTAGCACCGACTTAAGCAGAACCCAACATTAAAAAATGACGAAATTTCGAATTAAGAAACATCCACAGGTGTGTTTATACGACGTTTATGATTGATACATCAATGTGACACATTCGTTCAATTCCAATAAAAACGGGGTAAGTTCGAACACGTGTGAAATAAACAGAAAACAAAAGGCGGTACTAAACATAATGGAATATTGAATAGGGATCAGAGGTTATGAATCCTAGATATATTTTGATTGAAAGCAGCTTGGTAAAATATCATTTATGCGCTGAAAATATAATATATTAGTGTGATGCCTTTAAAATAACAAGTTCTTAACTATGGATGAATATTTTTAAAGTTTTCCATCAATGTTTATTACATCACATTTGACAAAAGTTTGTATGGGTGAAAATGTGTTTATCTTATTTTACATATATAATAATCATAGGTTTGTGTTACTGAATTTTGTTATTAGGACCCGATTTTATGTAAGACTATTCAGTTAATAAATATTCATCATATTTTGTAAAAGATAACACAATTTTTTTACTTTAAAACCTTAACTTCTAAGTTATTGGAAGGATACATTAAATTACTTATTTCCTGTGAACCATGGGCGACAAGTTAGATGTAACATTTTCAAAGTAATTGAGTGTTGAATTATTTAAATTTTATAATGTTATTAACCTAGTAATTGCTAAACGCATATGTTGAAGTAAAACTTCATTCAATACTTTTTAAAGGCAACCGCGATAGATAAGATTTAAAAATTCATTAATTGAATATTAATTGTATTGTATTCTTATATTAATTGAAAGATAATTTAAAATATTTTTACTAGGATAAGCAAAAGTGAGATATAAGATTATGCACATTATGCCTATCATTTTGAATTCTTTAGAAATGCCAAACATGTGTTTAATCATGTTTTAATAACGGATTTAGAGAAAGTAAGGTGTTTTACAACTGACAAAATTGTATCATAGTATGGAGACTTTACTATTGAAAACGTATCAGAGTTAAATCGTATACCAATACGTGCAAATTGACTGGAGAACAGGTATCACTTGTCCGCATTCACTGTCTGTCTAGATCATGCTTGTTGATTGGCTCATATTTGTCAGGAGTTTACTAATTGTGGCGACAGTGTAACGATATAAAAGTCATATTAAGATGCTCGTAAATTTGTTTCATTTTTCTGGGGTTTAATAGTGTGACGACAGGGAACGTGTTCTTAATTTTGCGTAGAACACAAAGGAGTAAGACCATCATAACACTTAACAATCTGATTTAAACTCTGGCGCTACGCCCCCTCGTACAAATCGCAAAGCTACGTGTTTCGATGCTTTTTCCATTAGGTAGATCTAAATGCGTCACAAACGTAGCGAAATATAAACAAAACAGTCTTTTTACTTCCATACAAAATACTAATTCACTAAAACTATACACTATAACTATACCTATTGCCAACAACGCAAAAGGAAGCAGAAGATAGTTCATTTATGTGGCAAATAAGATTTTTTTTTATTTTCGAACATGCACCAAGATACCAAAAATATAGTTTTTCAGAAAAAAATATGGCATTTCTGAGGCATAATGGGCCTTTAGATTTAAAAAAAAATCCATAAAACATTTTTAAAAGTGTGCATAGAGATTAATATTTATTATATCGGCAAACAATTAATGCTGGATCTTATCAGGAGCACATGGCAGTAACGCATTTCTAAAAGTGAACACTGAAGAGTATCAGTTTCCTTTAGATTATCGGAGAGGAAAGGTGTTTACAGTTTCTTCAAAACATTTTAATAATTTTCTTGATAAATAAAGTCTTGTTCAAAATGGAATGTATGTATACCTCTTTGCTCTTATTTTTACTAGTATCAAAAAGTGATTCTACAGACACGAATCAGGACTTAAACGAATCGCAACTTACGGGGCAAGGGTTAATTGATTTGGGAATAAAGCTGGACAAACCTTTGCTGAAATTAATAGGGCAAACTATGCGCCGTGTAGAGAACCGAATGCAGAAAAATCAAGTCGGAACTGATGATGTGGCAGCAGAAATGTGTCGACTTCATCCCTGCTCTGAATGGAGTGAATGGTCGAAATGTGATGCGATTCATCAAGGTGAGTTTGGAGGACAAACAAGAAGCAGAACTTGCGGTGTAAATACAACGTTATGTAAGCATTACAATGAGCCAATAAATGTGATTGACACAAGATTATGCGAAGGTGTATGTCCAAAAGACTATACTGCAACAAGTCATGGTTTCTGTTTGAAATTTTACGACAAAGAAAGACTATATAGAGATGATGCTGAAAAAGTATGTCAAGGTGATGGTGGACATCTTGTGAACGTTGATTCTGAGATAAAAGTAATAGATGTGAATGACACAATTCTTCAACAAATCTTTTCTGCTGATGTCATATGGATTGATGGAAGAAAATCAGTACAAGGTGATCCTTGGACTTACGGCTACAAGTCATCAGATCCGTCCTTCACCTTTTGGGGACATGATGATCCAGATAACCGTGTAAATGACCTGTGTATAATGTATCACTATGAAACAAGTACGAATAACCTCTGGCGATGGTTCGATTATCCATGTGATAAAAAATTTGCCTTTATTTGCCAATACAAATAGATTAGCTTATTACATTCGCTCAATAAATATCAACTGTTAATGTCGCGAATGTGTAAAACTTTGTCAAATTTTAATATTAAACTATTGTGAAAACATTCTGACGGACATACAATTAAATAACTTATACATGTAAAACACGGCGCGAAGTGAAAATGTCTTATTAGAATTGATGTTTTCAAGAAGCTAGATAAATGTAAATATGTTTACCAGCCAACGGTTAATCGATGTGCAGCTTTAAACAAATATACCTATTGTAGGTACGGTACACGCAATTTTTTCATCGATTCAGGTACAATTTTTCCCAATTACTCTGCTGTTTCTCAACCGATTTTGACCAGACAAGGCGAAGAGTACCTGGAATTATATCAACTACCGACGGTTAATCAAAAAATTATTTGAAAACCCCTGAATGGGTTTTGAGAACATAGAGGGATTTTAAAATTTAAAAAGTTTAAAATATTGTTTAATCATTATATGGACCACACAGAGACCTATATCTAAAACTCCTGACACGGGCAGCGTTTTTATGGCAACTAAGAAATGCATGCATCGCTGCAACATCGCAATGGCATCGAAATGAATGCCCACAGACGGCACTCATTTCAAGGATGGTCGTACTTTACGTCGTCATTCGGCGTTACGATAACAGTGCATTGTGGGTTTGCGAAGTACGCCGAAGTTACACATTAGGATCTCTTACAACAATTGGCGAAATTGCACAATGGACGCAGTGCGAATGCTGATGTTATCTATGACAGATTAAAACAACGTTTTTACCTTTCTTGTACTACTCTCATACGACGCCTTTAGGCAGTTTCAACTATAAACATGCTCGTACAGCGAGCATGTAGCTATCAAGCGACCATTGTGCTAAAAGAGTGGGACTTAATAAAAAGAGTGTGACAGTCCCTTTAAATTTAAGGAAGTTGTTATATTTTTTCATAAACATATTTAAGTATCAATACCAGTCAATGAGCATTACGATAGTCAATCCTTTTTACATAAAAAAGTCAGTTAAGCTCAACTTGACAACGAAACATAATGAGCATAATATCACCTTAATAACAAACAATTACGTGAATCTCTTTCCATCGTTTATGTACCGATAAAGGACGTGTAACAGAACATCATACGTTTGCATTTTAATCAGAACTTAATTCAAAACTAAGTGTGTAACATTGATACACATGTATTATTCTTAGGTTCAACAACACAAACACAGTTCGTCTGGTTACTTGTATGTAAAACACACAATGAAGGCAATTTTCCATTTTATTAAGTTGCCGCAACATTTTCACTTTTGTCTCGTTGGGCTTTCTTTATGGTTTCTGATTTTCTCTTCTTTAATGCAACGAGTTCAAATAGACAGATTGAATTTACTTTATGTATAAAATACTTAAATGATCTTAAATCAGAAATCGATATGTTCAATTACCCTGTGAAGAAGATAGAGAAACAAAGAATATCATTCAATAGAATCACCACACAACAAATACCAAATATCATTAATGAGATGTAAATATAATGTATTATTGTATATACTCCCTTGATGCCTTTGAAATAGCAAGTTCTTAAGTACGGATGAATACTTTTAAATTTTTCCATGAATGTCCTTTACATCATGGTTTCTGTTTGAAATTTTACGACAAAGAAAGACTAACCAGAGACGATGCTGAACAAATCTGTCAACGTGATGGCGGCCATCTTGTTAACGTTAATTCTGAGATGAAAGTAAAAGATGTGAATGAAACAATTCTTCAACAAAACTTTGATTCTAACAGAATATGGATTGATGGAAGAAAATCAGTACAAGGCGATCCTTGGACTTACGGCTACAAGTCATCAGATCCGTCCTTCACCTTTTGGGGAGATGATGATCCAGATAACGGTCGATTTGAGCTGTGCATTGTGTATTTCTTTGGTTTACGTACGAATTACCTTTGGCGATGGTTAGATTTTCCATGTGATGCAAAATTTGCCTTCATTTGCCAATACAAATAGTTAACCTTATTTTCAATGAGTACATTCGCCCAATAAATATAAATTGTTAATGTCGCGAATGTATTAACTTTTGCCAAATTGTAATATTAAACTATTGTGAAAACATTCTGACGGACATATACAAGTATATAACTTATACATGTATAACACGGCGCGAAGTGAAAATGTCTTTTTAGAATTGATGTTTTCAAGAAGCTAGATAAATGTTTATATGTTTACCAGACAACGGTTAATCGATGTGCAGCTTTAAACAACTACACCTAAACAAAATAATTAGGTCATGAGACCATGATCAGTTTCAATGTGACCATACTACGTGACATTGCAGGTACGGTACACGCAATTTTTTCATCGATTCAGGTACAATTTTTGCCAGTTACTCTGCTGTTTCTCAACTGATTTTGACCAGATGAAGCGAAGTGTACCTGGAATTATATCAACTACCGACGGTTAATCAATCTTTTGAAAACCCCTGAAAAACGTTTGAGAACATAGAGGTATTATAACATTTAAAAAGTTTAAATTTATTGTTTAATTATTATGTGGACCACACAAAGACCTATATCTAAACTCCTGACACGGGCAGCGTTTTTATGGCAACTAAGAAATGCATGCATCGCTGCAACATCGCGATGGCATCGAATTGAATGCCCAACGACGGCATTCATTTCAAGCATGGTTGTATTTTACGCCGTCATTCGGCGTTAAGATAACAGTGCATTGTGATTTGTGAAGGACGCCGAAGTTACACATTACGATCTCTTACAACAATTTGCGAAATCGCACAAGGGACGCAGTACGAATGCTGATGTTATCTACGACAGATTAATACAACGTTTTAACCTTTCTTGTAATACTCTCATACGACGCCTATAGGCAGTTTCATTTATTAATACGCTCGTACAGCGAGCGTGTAGCTATCAAACGACCATTGTTCTAAAAGAGTGGGACTTAATAAAAAGAGTGTGACAGTCTCTTTAAATTTAAGAAAGTTGTTATATTTTTTCATACACATATTTAAGTATCAATTATCAGTCAATGAGCATTACGATAGTCAATCTTTTTTTTACATAAAAAGTCAGTTAAGCTCAACTCGACAACAAAATAAATGAGCATAATATCACCTTAATAACAAACAATTACGTGAATCTCTTTCCATTTTTTATGTACCGATAAAGTACGTGTAACAGAACATCATACGTTTGTATTTTTATCAGAACTTGAACAAAAACTGTTACAAACCGAGTGTGTAACATTAATACACATGTATTATTTTAAGGTTTTTCAACAACACAAACACACGTCGTCAAGTACGGATGAGTACTTTTAAAGTTTTCCATGAATGTCCTTTACATCAAATTATCGAAAAATTTGCAAACGTATGTATGGCTGAAAGTGTGTGAATCTTAAGTATTCATAGGTTTGTGTTACTGAATTTTGTTATAAGGATCCGATTTTATGTAAGCCTATTCAGTTATTAAATATTCGTCATATTTTGTAAAAAAATAACACAATTTTCATACTTAAAAAACTTTACTACTAAGTTATTAGAAGATAAACATTGGGCGAAAAGTTAGATGTAACATTTTTAAAGTAATTGAGTGTTGAATTATCTTATATCTTATACTGTTATTAACCTAGTTAATGGTTAATGCATATGTTGAAGGTAAACTTCATTCAATACTTTTTAAAGGCAATCGCGAGAGAGAAGATTTAAAAATTCATTAATTGTATATTAATTGTTTTGTATGAAAGATAATTTAAAATATTTTTACTTAGATAAGCAAAAGTAAGATATAAGATTTTTGAAGGCAAATTATGCCTAACAAAATCCATCATTTTGAATTGTTAAAAAAATGTCAATCATGTATTTAATCATGTTTTAATAACGGATTTAGATAAAGAAAGGTGTTTCACAATTGTAGAAATTGTATAATAGTATGGAGACGTTACTATTGAAAACGCATCAGAGTAAAATCGTATACCGAAATATGCACAATGCGTTAACTAGATTGCAGGTATTAGTTACACACATTCACTGTCTGTCTAGAGCATGCTTGTTCATTTGCTCATTTTTTTCTTGAATTTACTATTTATTGTGACGACAGTGTAACGATATATAAGTAATATTATGATGCTCGGACACAGGTTTCTTTTTCTGGGGTTAAATAATGTGACGACAGGGAACGTGTTTTTATTTTTGCCTATGATGCATACGAGGAAGACCATCAAAATATTCTAAAGTAATCTGATTTGAACTCGGGGATGGGGATGAGTACGCCCCATCGTACAAATCAGATAGCTACGTGGTTCTATTTCGTACAGCTAAACATGAAGTAATCCGCCATTAAGGTATTAAAATATAAAGAAAATAAGAAAACAATATCATTAGTTCCATACAAAATACTTATTTATGATAACTATACCGTTTGTAAAAAACGCAAAGAAAGCAAAAGATCGTACATAGATAGTACATCTATGTGGCAAATAAGTATTTTTATTTTTGAAATTGTACCAAGATATCAAAAAACTATAACGTTTCTCAGAAAAAATATTATAGCATTTCTGAGGCATAATTTGCCTTTAAATTTCAACAAATACATAAACCATTTTAATAAAATGTGCATGGAGATAACAAAATATTATTTTGACAGGAAGTTTATGCTGGATCTTATCAGGAGCACTTAGCACGAACGCATTTCTAAACGTGAACACTGCAGACTATCAGTTTTCTTCAGATTATCGAAGAGGAAAAGGTGTTCACAGTTTCTTCAAAACATTTTAATAATTTTCTTGATAAATAAAGTCTTGTTCAAAATGGAATGTATGTATAACATACCTCTTTGCTCTTATTTTTATATCAAAAAGTGATACTACAGACACGGATGGGGACTTAAACGAATCGAAACTTACGGGGCAAGGGTTAATTGATTTGGGAATAAAGCTGGACAAACCTTTGCTGAAATTAATAGGGCAAACTATGCGCCGTGTAGAGAACCGAATGCAGAAAAATCAAGTCGGAATTGAAGATGTGGTAGCAGAAATATGTCGACTTCATCCCTGTTCTGAATGGAGTGAATGGTCAAATTGTGATGCAATTCACCAAGGTGAGTTTGGAGGACAAACAAGAAGTAGAACTTGTGGCGTAAATACAACGTATTGTAAGCATTACAGTGAGCCAACTAATGTGATTGACAAAAGATTATGCGAGGGTGTATGTCCAAAAGACTATACTGCAACAAGTCATGGTTACTGTTTGAAATTTTACGACAAAGAAAAACTATATAGAGATGATGCTGAAAAAGTATGTCAGGGTGATGGAGGACATCTTGTGAACGTTGATTCTGAGATGAAAGTTAAAGACGTGAATGAAACAATTTTTAAACAAAACTTTTCTGCTAATCGTTTATGGATTGATGGAAGAAAATCAGTACAAGGGGATCCTTGGACTTACGGCTACAAGTCGACAGATCCGTCCTTCACCTTTTGGGGAGATGACGATCCAGATAACGGTGCAACTGACATGTGTATTATGTATTTCTATCATTCAAATACGAATAACCTTTGGCGGTGGTTCGATACTATATGTAATCATAAATGTGCTTTTATTTGCCAACACAAAATAGATTTGACTTATATCTAAATGATTTTGGAAATTCGAACAAACAATAAATATATATATATATATATATATATATATATATATATATATATATATATATATATATATATATATATATATATAAATTGTTACAGTCGCAAAATATAAACATTTGCCAAATTACATAATTATACTTTAACCGACGCATGGCATGAAGAGAAAATGTCTTATTGTTATGCAGCTATATATATATGTTGCTATTTATTTTTAGCAGACAATGGCAAATCGATGTCCAGCTTAAAACAAACACACTTTAAGGACGTTTTCGGGAGTTTTCATATAGACATATAGGAAAAATTTTACTGTTTAATAGATTTTTTTTAAACTGTAAACTTAAAGTTGTTAGAATATGATAATAGAAACGTTTTAAGCGAAACAAATTTGGGTGTCAACATTCCCACTTCTGAGTTACTTGCTATTGGATCAGAAATGTTTACATTGTACTTATTTGAGGTCATTTCAAGGACAGATAACATATACGTGTGTCTATAAAATCTTGTTTTTACTTTTTTATTATTGTTGATCACAATTATGCATACTAATAGGTAATTCCATGTCTTATTTCTGTTATTTTTTCAGTAGGAAAACAGGGATTTAAAATTCTTCAAAAATAGGCCATTTTAAAGACAAAACGTCAAAGGGATAGAAAAGAAGGAAAAATATGAACACTGCCGAAAACGTATTTGAGCAAAGGCATTAGGTTAAAATGTCATTAGGTCAAACTGATTATCGTGTAGAATACTTCACGGACATCAAGCAAAACATGAAGAGCACTGGAGAAATCGTCTTTATCAATCCTGTTGTTATTTACATGGATTTGCTTGTTCAAATGTCGCAGAAGACAAATGTCATGATTTAGGTTCTTTGGCTGTTACATAAGTATGCTAATGTTTTCTTTTTCTTTTTAAGTACTGACTAGACGAATATTATGTTATTAACAAAGATATTGTATAAGTTAAATGTATAGGTCATGATTATACAACTTGCACAATTGATGTATTAAAAACCTGCTGCCTTACGATGTAATGATAATAAAAGCTTTTTAAAGTTCTACAATTTATATTTTCTATAATCGATCATATGTCGAGAGAGTGCTTTATAAGAAAGAATTTCAAACATGTGTAATGTTTTTATATATGCCTTTAAACTTGTGTCAGAAATAATTATCTAGTAATTATTAAGTTTTATAAATTCATAACAGGTTATGCACAAACAGTTTGGAAAAAAACATATCATTCGAGAACAACACGTACTAAGATAACCGTGGATAAAAGCATATAAAAAGTTAAAGTTTTGTTAAAAATTTATGTTGAACACACGAATGCGTACTTTAAAAAAGTCTGTCACCGGCTGCGTTTTTATGGCAACTAAGAAATGCATGCATCGCTGCAACATCTCTGTGACATCAAAATGAATGCCGATAGACGGCACTCATTTAAAGCATGGTTGTAATATACGTACCTCGTCATTGGGCGTTCGTATAAGGATGCATTGGGATAACCTAAAGCCGTAATTGCTCAGTAGGATGTCTTACAACAATTGGCAAAATCGCACAAGGGACGCAGTGCGAATGCTGAGGTTATCCACGACCATTACGTTTTGTGAGATGTCACAACGTTTCTACCTTTCTTGTACTACTCTCATACGACGCCTTTAGTGAGTTTCAACTATACACATAGAAAAAAGTTAAGCACACCACGAAAATTTTATATTGGTTCTAACTGAAAGCACTGTCTTGAGATGACGGCTGAATTGAACTTAAGAAATAGTTATGTGATAAATAGCGATACCAATTTAGTAATTATAAACCAGTAAATCTATGAGTTTAGTTAAATCTTAACCAAATGTTATGCATAAGCAAATGTGTTGTTTTTA